AATAATATGGGATGATTATTTTCTTTTGTTTTTTTTATTAGGCTATGTTACTACTATTTTGTAAATTTACAACATCAAGGATTATAAACTACACACCAGCACATTTCATAACGATCACCCATGGAAACGCCGCAATATATGAAAACTATTTTTACCTGGTACACTCAACCAACTTATCAGAATATGAAGAAATGGTTATGGACAACACAAATTCTTTTTATCACGACGTCTACAGTAGAAATATCCTGGTAAAGCAAACACAGGAAATTCAACGAATCATAAAGACATTGTGGACCACACGTCGATTTGCAAGATCGATCGACTTTATTGGATCAGCGGTAAAATTCGTAGCAGGAACCCCGGATCATGACGATTTCCAATTGTTATTAACCAAACAAAATATGCTTATAGAAAATAATAATAGACAGACAAACATTAACTATGTAATACAGAACCAAATTAGCGAACTCACAAACAGAATAAATGACTTAAAGTCAGCAAAAAATTCTGATAATTTTATCTCGAAAGAGGAAGAAATTCTAAAACAATATATTATAAATAGAAATAATTATGTTATCAATCATTTAGATAATTTAGCTCTTTCCGTGGTCTTGGCAAAAAGTAATATAAATTATCCACTTATCTCAGATAATGTTGAAATAAATGATCTGATTAACTCTGAAAATGTACCACTTAGTTCAAATAACATCTTAAGTGTATCCAAAGTAAAGGTTTTACAAAATAATGAAATCCTTTTATATGTAATAAAAATTCCTAGAATAGATAAATATTGTAATTGAAGACGTTCATAAATTTAATATATCGGGTACATTCCTGATAACATTCAAAAACGAAATTACCATAAACGGAACAAAATACAAAGTCACAGAAAACATAACTAATTTCGAACCTCATGCTCCGAAATTTCTCGACATTAAGTTCCTGGAACATAACACGAAACTTTCTTTGCCATATCTTCACAGAATACATATTGAGAATACGAATCACATCTCAGCACTAAGAAAATAAATACTATAAGTTCCAAAAACGAAACTGGTGGCTCACTATTTTACTTGTGTTAATTCTTGTAATAGCATTAACAATATTTCTAATGATTCGATCATGCAGAGAAAGAGTGAAATCAAAAACACTATTTGATGATATCATAAATCAATTAACTGGTCGGAACGGGGACGTTCCGAATTTAAGAGAGGGAAGAGTTAATGCCGCTGACACTTAATGTCACAAATACTTAATTAAGCTAAGGTTGCAGCGTCTGCAACGTAATTCAGATCATGCTAAATAGCATGCAGATGCTACTACAATAATCATTGCCCCTACCTGTTGCAGATACAACGTGCATCACAGACGATCGTACTTCTCGTGGGAAACTACATGAGCAACAGTTCCTGTTGATGCTGTACATTTTATTATTAAGTTAGACAACAAAAATCAATGTAAGATTTCCTTTCAGAACAGTTCTTTACCAAACTTAAAAATAAATAGTTCGGAGTAATCCGAAAAGTAAGAAATAGTGAACGACTCATTAATTGGCACCCAACGTAAAAAAGATTTAAATTTGCAAAAAAAATCTAAATAACCAAAAGTGGAATATATTAAAATAATCTAAATAACCACAAAACAAATATTAAAGTTTTACTTTAAGGTTTAAACATAATAATTTTCAAATTAAAGTGACTGATAACATAATAAACTAACTGAAAAAAGTTTTTCAAGCCGAAGTTTTTTTGTGAGACATTCAATAATAAAAATAAAAAACGTTGTCAAAATACTAAAAAGAAATTCTTTAATTGTAAATTCTGTTCATTTCTTTTAAAATTATTCTTAATTTATACTAAGTAATTTTTCAAAAAATACTAAAAAGAAATCCTTTTCTTGTAAGCAAATAAACAACCTTTCTGTGTAAATCAATAAAATAAAAAAAAAACTTTTTGTAATTGTCTTTTATCCTTTTAAAAATAATAATAATTACAAATTGTAACGACACTTTCTTGGGGTCGTTTCGTTTTGCTGGGGTATCCTCAGCCTATCCAGAATCGTCACAATAAATTTCTAATTGTGACCAAAATACTCAAAGACGTTATTTTGTTTATTAGGTTTATAATTTATTATAATAAAACTTTTATAATTCAAGAAAAATTAGACAATAATGAAATATTTAAATATGTTATTATTATGATAAATACCAATCGATGCGGTGCACAGTGATTGTCTTGGATGTCCTGGTGTAGATCTTGAGTTGATGGTGTTTTCTTCAAAACTGTTATTTCAAAGTGTGTAACAGCCGATCATATAGAGACATGTTTATTGCGAATACTTATTTTTCTCAAAGTACTCTTTTGTTTATTATGCCTTCAGTTGAATAGATCCTTATATTGAAATATTCTTTCGTATTTGCCTGTAAATTATATCAACCAGAGTAGACGTACTACAGCCAATCGTAATGATACAATTACAAGTCCCCGTCTGAACAAAAATGCGCGTCTTAAATACTCAACCAACCGAGCTTTTTCGTAGTGTATCATTGTATTTACAGCTGATCTCACGCAAGTCTTGTTTACTTTGCCGTTCTGCTTGTGCACTTTACGTCTCTTTGAGCTTCTCTTGCGGCGAATATTTTTAGCAGTTCTTGTTTTCTATTCTGCTGTTTTGTTTTGATGATTGCAAAATGTGATTAAAAATGCATTCGGTGCTTCTTTTCTGATTTTTTTAATTTAGTTTAATGAATATTAATTTAATAAATATAAAAATTAATTCAAAAAAACAAAATAGAAATATAATTCATAAATAAATCAGGTAAGTGTATGATTCATTTAATTAACTATATTTTCAAATTTTTATTTCAACGTAATTGCAGATCACTTGGTTATGTTGTGGGTGCATGCTGCAACAACAGGGACGGCAAATATTTATCAAAATACCAAGCGACCACATGCTAGCACAAGATCTGTGAATGGCATTAATAATATAGTAGAGAAATGCCGGATAAATATTTTAAGTAAAGTAACAACTTTTTTCATACTTCCAGTACTTGAAAGCTTCAATAAAATCATAGGATACGATTACCTTAAAGAAGTAGCGGCAACTATTGTCGCAAAAAACAATACACTTTTCCATAAAACAAGAAAAGAACAAATACATGAACAAACGATATCTGATTAGTATCCTATACCGGATGCAACAGTGATATTGTCCAATCTAAGACATTCGAAGTTTTACACGACTCTTAACCTCAAGTCTGGGTGTCACCAGATAGTTTTAGACGAAAAAGATAGGCATAAAATAGCCTTCAGTGTAAATAATGGTAAGTATTAGTTATCCGGATATTATCGGAGATTTGTAAGGAATTACGCGGCAATAGCAAAGCCACTGACTGCATACCTCTGAGAAGAAAATGTCATATTGGAATCAAACAATCAAAAAATACTAAAATAAATTTAAATATGAATGCAGTAAAAGCATTTAATAAATTAAAGCAAATATTAGCTTCAGAGGATGAACTTCTACAGCATCCAGACTACGATAAAGCCTTCGAGCTTACCCCTGATGTATCATCAGTTGCTTTAGGTGCAGTATTGTCCCAAGAGGGTAGACCAATAACAATGGTCTCTAGAACCCTAAGTAAGTGTGAAGAAAACTACGCTACAAATGAACGCGAACTACTAGCAATTGTTTGGGCTTTACAAACATTACGTCACTACTTATATGGTGTTGGAAACCTAAAAATCTTTACAGCTCATCAACCCCTCACATTTTCAATATCTGATAAGAATCCTAATTCAAAAATTAAAAGGTGGCGTGCATTTATAGATGAATTTTCCCAAAATTCTTCTATAAACCAGGGAAAGAAAACAAAGTAGCAGATGCCTTATCTATCAATATATTAATAATTTGACTTTAGACGAAATACAGTCCACAGTGAAGAATCCTCATCTGATATAATTAAAACAGTAAACACCCCTGTAAACCAATTTAAAAATCAACTAATTTTGTCCCATTACAATTCAAATAATAAAAACACTAAAATCCTATTAAAGAGATTTGTACGCCACACAATAAATTTTAAAAACACAGAATTTCTGTTAAATACAATCAAAGATAAAATAAACATAAATGTAATAAATGGTCTACACTGCGATCGAACAACTTTGGCAACAATTCAAAATATGTTGAAAAGGGAATATCCAGGTGATAAATTTATTCACACTGAGAAACTTGTCATCGATTTGACTTATAGGGAGGATCAAATGGAGACAGCAACAACGGAGCACAACAGATGTCTCCACGAAAATCGTAAGCAAATAATGGAAGAATACTACTTCTCAAAAATGAAAACGATTCTCAAAACTATTATCGCAAATTGCAAGATATGCCATGAAAAGAAGTACCAAAGAAAACTACCAAACGAGTTATTGGTGAAACTCCAATACCAAATTATCCCAAAGAAATACTCCATATAGATATTTTAATAATAAATAAGTCGTACTTTTTAACAAGTATCGATAAACAGACAAAATTTGCAATAGTTACACCGATAGTGTCAAGAACAACATCGAATATTAAATTAGATCTGTTACAAATTTTAAATAAATATAAAAAAACCAGGCTTTTCGTTTCGGATAACGAAAAAGTATTCCGATCGAATGCATTATCCACTTTTTTACGTGATCATTTCGAAATCACGCAATTTTCCTACCAACACTCCATAGCGAAAGCAACAGATAAGTTGAACGATCACATTCAACGTTATTGGAAATTGCTAGATGTTGTAAGGCTCAGCAGCAAATAGCTGATATAATCGAGCTCATACTACTAGCCACTATTAAATATATTAACACCGTACATTCTGTAACAGATTCTAAACCGGTTGATTTGCTTGACTCTAAAGATAGTAAAACAATTTCAAAAGTCAAAGAAAAAATTATAGAATCTCAAGCAAAACTACTAAGGAGAGCTAATAGAGATATACATCGTACAATCTATAAACCGGGAGACGTAGTCTATGTAAAAAGAAATAAACGATTAGGTAACAAGTTTAATAAAATTTTTGAGGAAGGGACTGTCGAATGAGACCTAGGCACTGCTGTCCTAATCAATAGCAGAAAAATTCATAAAAATAATATGCGATGATTATTTTCTTTTGTTTTTTTTATAAGGCTATGTTACTACTATTTTGTAAATTTGCAACATCAAGGATTATAAACTACACACCAGCACATTTCATAGCGGTCACCCATGGAAACGCCGCAATATATGAAAACTATTTTTACCTGGTACACTCAACCAACTTATCAGAATATGAAGAAATGGTTATGGACGACACAAATTCTTTTTATCACGACGTCTACAGTAGAAATATCCTGGTAAAGCAAACACAGGAAATTCAACGAATCATAAAGACATTGCGGACCACATGTCGATTTGCAAGATCGATCGACTTTATTGGATCAGCGGTAAAATTCGTAGCAGGAACCCCGGATCATGACGATTTCCAATTGTTATTAACCAAACAAAATATGCTTATAGAAAATAATAATAGACAGACAAACATTAACTCTGTAATACAGAACCAAATTAGCGAACTCACAAACAGAATAAATGACTTAAAGTCAGCAAAAACTTCTGATAATTCTATCTCGAAAGAGGAAGAAATTCTAAAACAATATATTATAAATAGGAATAATTATGTTAGCTCTTTCCGTGGTCTTGGCAAAAAGTAATATAAATTATCCACTTATCTCAGATAATGTTGAAATAAATGATCTGATTGACTCTGAAAATGTACCAAATAAGTTCAAATAACATCTTAAGTGTATCCAAAGTAAAAGTTTTACAAAATAATGAAATCCTTTTATATGTAATAAAAATTCCTAGAATAGATAAATATTGTAATTGAAGACGTTCATAAATTTAATATATCGGGTACATTCCTGATAACATTCAAAAACAAAATTACCATAAACGGAACAAAATACAAAGTCACAGAAAACATAACTAATTTCGAACCTCATGCTCCGAAATTTCTCGACATTAAGTTCCTGGAACATAACACGAAACTTTCTTTGCCATATCTTCACAGAATACATATTGAGAATACGAATCACATCTCAGCACTAAGAAAATAAATACTATAAGTTCCAAAAACGAAACTGGTGGCTCACTATATTACTTGTGTTAATTCTTGTAATAGCATTAACAATATTTCTAATGGTTCGATCATGCAGAGAAAGAGTGAAATCAAAAACACTATTTGATGATATCATAAATCAATTAACTGGTCGGAACGGGGACGTTCCGAATTTAAGAGAGGGAAGAGTTAATGCCGCTGACACTTAATGTCACAAATACTTAATTAAGCTAAGGTTGCAGCGTCTGCAACGTAATTCAGATCATGCTAAATAGCATGCAGATGCTACTACAATAATCATTGCCCCTACCTGTTGCAGATACAACGTGCATCACAGACGATCGTACTTCTCGTGGGAAACTACATGAGCAACAGTTCCTGTTGATGCTGTACATTTTATTATTAAGTTAGACAACAAGAATCAATGTAAGATTTCCTTTCAGAACAGTTCTTTACCAAACTTAAAAATAAATAGTTCGGAGTAATCCGAAAAGTAAGAAATAGTGAACGACTCATTAATTGGCACCCAACGTAAAAAGGATTTAAATTTGCAAAAAAAAATCTAAATAACCAAAAGTGGAATATATTAAAATAATCTAAATAACCACAAAACAAATATTAAAGTTTTACTTTAAGGTTTAAACATAATAGGGATATTCACTCTCTCTTGTAAACTCATTGCAAGGAGCACGAAATGCAAGAATGCTATACA